AGCGAATTGAGATGTTATTTGTTGAGGAAAATAAGAAATTTATGAAGTTCAAATTTGCTGTGTCTCTAAATCACGAATGTATTATCTACATAATGGCAACTAGACTTGTGATCTCTTAAATGTTTTTTGGAAAACTTTTCTTGAAGTTTTTCATGAAGATGTTAGCAGTTATAGGAGAAATAGGAGAATTACTGATCCTGAAGTTTATTTATAGAATTGATTATTATAGAAAAAGTATATGGCTATTAAGCAGTGCTATACTAAAAGATTGAGAGGAAACTTCGTATGAGAGGCTTCTGTTTCTGTTGATTATATCTAGTGTATCTTTAATTAAGACTTGTTGAAAAAGGATTCTGCGGATCGTAATACACAAGCATGTCTGCAGGATGTAATCGAATTTTTTCGATTTTTTTATATTATAATTTGGATTTTTCTACGGATTTTTTTTTACGAAGTGTAAAAATTTTTTGCTAGAAAGCAGGATGGATTATATATAGCTCTAAATGTACTAGATCGCAGAAGCCCGCCATGTTTGTCTTTAAAGAATTCCTAAGTGCTTATTGGATGATAAACTAGCAGATCAGAAATACAGTCGAACCAGTCAATAGAAAAATTGTTAGTATTCGGCTTGAGTTACTCTGGTATATCTAGAGCTCTAATGTTGGAAAGTTTAAGCATTGACAATTAATCTGAGAGAAATATTAGGTATTTTGGACAGACCATTAAGCATATTTCTCTCAATCCTACTTAAAACTTATTTGATTCTTAGATCTCACTTATTACATAAAGTCTACATATGTATTCTTGAATTTCATGACTTAGAATAAATTCTTGCAACATGGTGAGAAAGATCTAAATAAAAGAAATGCTAGTATCTTAAAAAAAGTTTATATTAAATATGTCTCGCGATTCCGCCAGATTTCTTATATCACATGAGAGTTTGGAGGTATTTGTACATTCCAGTTGTTAAGAGAGCTGGCGATGGTAATACTGGATTGAATATTCGTGATTTGGATGAAGGAACGGACAGAACAAAGATTAAGAACAAGGATTATTAAAAAATTAAGAATTGAAAAAAGAAAGAAGAAAGAAGAATCGAAAAAATCATAAAATTTTACTAGTTCCCTTATGGTTTTGATATTATAAATTTTACAAAATTTGGGTTTTGGTTCACTAAAAAAAAGGGTTTCGAAACAGTTTCCGGTTTGATTTCGATTTGGTTCGGGTCCTTGGTTTGAGGATGAGTCTGAATTATTGAGAATGTTACTTCTTTTTACTAGGATCTTTTTTTATGTAATGATCTGATAGGTTCATGACTACTGCTGTATCGCTTTTATCGATTGAAAACACGATGATATTTGTATTCTTACTCAATTCTTACAATTAGAGGAAAAATTGCTCTTGTTTAGTGATATTGGAGTGAGAAAGGCTTGACTTTGGAAAAGATGTCAATTACCTGTCTTAATTATCTGCGGATGCTATTTGCTCGCTCTGATGGAAATCGATATTAATTAAACCCCTTAAAATTTAAAGTTTAAATCCCTTAAAAATATAGGATAAATTTTGAGAAATCCTAAAGACTCCCTCAATTCCGCAAAAGTATATGAAATATTTTACTCTTGCGAACAAGTTTACATTGAAAAGACGACGGGAGAATGGTTAATCTACGGATGAAAGAACATCAACGTGACGTTAGATTAAAACGTATCACACAGTTAGCATTATCAGAACAAAACATTGAGAAAGGATATATTAAATACTATTTAATAAAACAATTACGCCACCGCTATTATTATACTTTTCAAGAAAATATAGAGAGATTATAGAGATTAAACATCTCAATATCCTAAAGAGAATTAATGATTATAACATAAGAGTAAAATAAAGATCGTTCTTCCTATCATCAAAAATACATCCTTTTTCTTGCTACTTCCATTCTACTTTCCTTCCATTCTACTTCTCTCCATCTTCTATTTTTAAACAGCGTAGATATATATAATATATAAGGGGGGATCCCTCAGAGGAGCAGCTCAGACTGATCTTTGCCTTCATGAAGTGAACTGCAATGTTTATGTAACATTGGCATTTTAATAATGGATTTGAATACAATCCGCAAAACACATAGCTTTTGTATAAAAAAATTCTCGTGGAAGCCTCAAAAGTAATATTATAATAAATTAATTTGTTTGAAAAATTTAAATGTACAATACTAATAGGAATTAATTAGTCAAGTGACATGTTTTACGAGAGATTCGGTTTCTGCGTATTTGTTTGAACAAAAACGTTGATTTGTTAAAAATCGGGATTCTTTAAAATGGAAGTGTAGACGTAACTGCAATACGAGTGAATGCATTAGTGATTTTCCACTATTATCAGCAATAATGTAGGAATCTCGAAATAATCTGCAGGCATTTTACATCTTTTTATCTCGTGATAATACTGTGAAACGTCATCGGGATTTTGAGCAGTCTTAGCGAAATTTGCAATTAGTCAATTTTCCTCCAGATTTATACAAATGGTGCCCGATAAATTTCTGACTTCGTATTAATAATTTGATGACAAAATTATTCCATTTAAAACTTCATAAAATCATTTCATGGAATATTCTGTATATTTTCTCATAATTTATTTATAATTTCTTAAAATATAAATTACTTTATAATTAAAATGTTAATTCACGAAAAAATTTAAGAAAAAAATCTTTTATTAATCAAATGAAACAAGCGAGAAATTTTTGAGTTCTAATCTTACAAAATTTCACGTGATATTGATTATAGATTTGTTGTTGCTTCTTTCTTCATCTTGTTGCATCTATATTGATTCTTCATGGAAATGATCGTTAATTCGCGGCAAAATTCGATGGACGTGTCGACGCTGGCACATACAGTGAGTGCAAAAAGTATTCGTGCAGAGAAAATATTTTTTTAAAAAAACCTTTTAAAAAGTAAATATCATTCAGCGAGAAATGAATCATCAAATTAATGTTGACTCGATATCGATACGATGATTTCAACCAATTCGACATCGATTCGTTGATTGATGTTCATTTCTTGCTACGTAATTAACAATTTATTCATAAAAAATAAAATAGACTGTATGTTTCTTAAAATTATATACCAAAAGATGTGTATTAATTATAGAAAATATATCATCTGAAAAATAAGCGAAAACAAAAAATTCTATTGTTCGGATGCTCAAAAAATATTCGTACAGTCGAGAAATTTAGCTTCTAGAATCAGGAATGCATACGAAGCTCATTGGCTTATGTTAGAATAATCAAAATATGTTCATTGTATAAAATTGCTAATTAATATTTATATTTTACAAATAAGACTTTTTTTATAAAAAATTTCCTTGTATATACTTTTTGCTCTCACTGTATGTATATTATACATGTGGATTCTTGTTGCTGTTGCGTCGTCACGACGCAGTCCGGATATAGGACAGAAGAATGATTATTAAGGCGCTATTCATCTTTTCAAAGTATCTTTGTGACATGGTGGCGATGACTTTTGCGCATTTGAGCTAACCGGAGAAAGTCCTTCGATTGGATTGCAAACGTGTATTGAACGAACTGGAAACGAATTGGAAAAATATAAAAATAAATTTGTGAAGTAGAGATTCTACAAAATATTATGAAGAAAAATTATAAGAAAAAGTATTAATTGACAGTCTTTGAATTAATCTCTAATTTTAAGTGAATATATCGTTAATTATAAAATGATTGAATATAATATTATGAAATATTATGAAAATTTATAATTTTTATAATATTTTTCTCTACTCATGTATGTTTGTATCAGTTTCAAGTTGCTACAAATTAAATTAATGTCTAATAGAAAGTTTTATAAAAAATTACAATGATATATAAATATCCAAATGATCCATTTATTTTTATGCATCAAGTACACTATATTTTTGTTTGATCATACATCGATTTTTATTTATAGTTTTCATTTTGGTTATAAGAATTAATAAAATTATTATTTAAACATATTTTGTTAAAAATATTTTTAATGAAACTTCTATTTACTTAGTCATAAAAATATTCTTTTTGCTTTGTCTACAAACATCAAATTTTAATATAATAGAAGAGTTAATGATATCCAAATGGAATTTATTTATACATAATAATAATTTAAAATCTTTTTTCGTAACATTAATCAATTTATGTAAATTCATATGATAACGTGGATCCTAAACAGTAGAGTGATTCAGGAATAAAATCGATCAGGATTTATCTCAACAACATATCGGTATTTCTTGCTTGAAATCACTCGACCGCCCAACGATTTATATTAGAAATTTGACCCGCATGGCCTGTAAAGGTGTCTGCATACGGCAATTCGTCGATAACGACTCTTGATGAACGATTCTACGATTCGTATTTGATATATCATAGTCATTCTAAAGAAAAAGAGAGAGAAGGCGGCGCAGCGCGGCGACGAAGCAAATGCGCGCGACCTCTGCGAGGTGTAAATATCCGCGTTGCAACGGCTCGCAGAAAAAACGCGACTCACGCACTACGCACAACGTGTCTTCAATGTCGCAGCACACATGTGTAGTATCACTTATCTACCTTATATCCCTACGCCTCGATATTCCAACGTACAGTTATTGCTATTCGAAAAATTCGCCCGAGAACTGCTGCGATTTCACAGCACGACGTTACATTTTGTCCTTAATGTTTGAACACTACTTTTTTTTTTCCTTTGTGTCTCTTGAAACGAGAGGGGGCCACGTTCACTCATCGATAATGTTGTGGCTCCGTCCCGATTATGTAGATCCTGTGAAGCCCAAGTTGTAAAATAGATCTTTAGTACAGCGGGCTCGCTCTTACGCCTCTTTGCCAGTATATTTATATAGTAGATTTAGCGTTTTTAACGGATTGACATTCTTTGCGATTTTTTAAGTCGTGTAGCCCTTTTCTCTTTTATTTGTTAATCACGACACATTATACCAATCTCTCTCTAGTATCTCTAGTCTTTGGGCCTTTACAGATTGGCTCCCGAAGATGTGCTCCTGCATCGACGGCAGCTCAACGCTGCCGAGTAACCGAGCCGCAAGCTATGAGCGGCTTGGTTCCAATCTCACGATCTTCGAACTCAACAGCACGATGCGAAGGAGTCGAAGAAGTGAGCAGGATTTGATCGACAGTGAAAGACAGGTATGTTATTATCTTGGGCTTTAAATATTGCGCTGTCTGTCTTATTATTTTATTATTTTATTATTCATTAAACGTTTACTCATTTACTACATAATGACACAGCTACAAAATTTAAGTTTTCCAGAAAATAAGTTGAAATATTTTAAATTTTAACTTTTAAAATTTTCTAATATTAATTTTGAAATGTAATTTTGATGTAATAACTGATTATAAAGGGAAATAAAAAATGTAATATTTTAAAGTATATCACTTTTTTCTTTATGTTTCCGTTGTTTACAAATAATTAAAAAATAATAATTTTATAACGTCGTATAATAAATATGATGTGTAGTCAGAAAAATCGAGGAAATGAGTATAAAGTAGTGAATTTTTTTTTATTTTTTTTTTTACTTTATGTAAGTGGAATCCATGTATTATGTTAAAAAATAAATATAATAGAATTCATAAATATGACGAAATAATTAAAGTACGATACAAATTTTTCTCATATCTTTATAAAACAAAAATTTATCATTGATTTATTCATTTATGTAAATTTATTTAATTACAAAACAAAATATAAATTATATAAATTATATAAAACAAAATATTTATAATTTATTTACGATGCAATAGATAAATTAAAAGAGATTTATAAGAGAGAAAGACTGCGAATTAATTTTAATTTGATTAATTTAATTAATTGTATCCAATTCAATTCAATTGTTTATTTAATGTCTTTCCAATGTTTATTTAATTAGGAAGAATTGCGGTTTTATAACAACGATCACTCTTTTACGACCGTGGTCGTGGAGAAGAATCTACGAACGATCGACCTGTGCGAGTTGCTTAAAGTCAAGAGGAACACGATCGGCGCAGCCTGGTCGATAATCGAAACGTGGCCGAAACTGGGAATCGGTATGTAACAATATAAACATAACGAAAATTAATATCATAATGTGTGATATTTCTGTCGCGATTATTTCAAATGCCTATGTATTCTTTCGGAAATGTAGTTAACAATCAATCAATAAGTATATTCTATACTTTGTGCTCACGTGCGAATAACAATGTGTCATTGACCATACTTCTACGATTACTCTCTATAGAATGTTATTCGTGGAATCATTAGTTTTTCATTAACTTTTTTTTTAAAGAAATATGAATATTTTGTACATTTTGATTATAGTACATATATGTATACATGTACAATTTTATATTTATATTATTGGAATGCATGCGCAATTTATACAAATGTGATGAACGTATATCCGAACATAATGGATGGAATTTACAGAATTAAACGTTTAATTTGATATCCGAATTGTTATCCCGTTTATTGATAACGTAGATTGAAACAAATTTGCATGAATAGGGAAATGTGGAGAATCAGCAGCGAATATTTTCGTATTTTTGTGATTATTGCGTGTGATACACTTGAGAGCTATTCAAAAACTCAATAACAAATAATTTATTTGCATAAATAATTTATTTACAAAAATATCAGCGTGTTCGTAAAAGATGGATAATTCGTTAAAAGTTTGAGGCATATCAAGCCGAGAAGAAGCTTCAAGGTGAGTCAATGAGCCTCTAATACAACGAGAAAACTTCAGTCATCTAAATTTTCTCTACGACATTGACTTGAAACGAGATCGGAAATAACGTGTGCTCGGTGAGGGGTAAAGGGAGAAGGGAGGAAAGGGGTTGGAGAGGCCGTAAAGACGGCACAGAGCTCTATAATGCAACCGAGAATCAATAGCGGGCGAAACCTCCAGGAGCTTGGTGCAGGTCAGAGACGCGACTCGCGGCTGTGTCTCCATACGGAATGTTTGTTTAGAGATCCGGGAAAATGTCAGGTTATTCTAGTCTAATGTGTTTTCCATGAAATCATTTTACCAATTAATTGTATAACAAGATCTGCACTGTAACATAAATCCTTTTTATTAGAACTTATTTAGAAGTTTTAAAATTAATTTTACTATAAAAAGGAATAGGTATTTTAAAACTAGAAATATTAAACTGTTTGTGAAATATTAAACTGTTTGTTATTATTTATGACATAACAGATATGAAAAATATTCTTTTCCCTATTTTCTTAAAAACAGACACCGATTTAGGAGGTATTCAAATAATTTCGATATAATTTTAAAAAGCTGAATGTACTACTGTGTTGATATTAGCAATATATTTGTCACAAATAGGATGAATTATTCTGTTGCAGAGCGTACTTTAGAAGACCATGAAGATATTCTCGCTGTTCATAGAGAATTGGAAATGTTCGCTTCCCAATACGAAAGGAGGTTCTATTTTAGTCAAGACTTCCTAAAATATGAAGTGTTCATCAAGCCTGTGGTAAATAAAAATACAGAGAATTTTGTTACCTTGCAGAAAAAAGCTGCTGTTTTAATTATACATTTCTGAAAAGCACGTGTTTCCAGAAAATAATCAAATTTTTGCGTTCTTTGTTATTATCGCATCAAAAAGTAAATTCTACTCAATCTAAACGCGTTAACTTACCGACTATCTGAGTTTACCAGTTAGGCTACAGTTGTAGCTGCGTTTAAATAACTACGAAGTTTTACCGACTCTAGATAAAATGTCTTCGATTTTACCGACCAACTTTTGACTAACATTTGATTTAAATGTATGTTTATTTATCATATTAATGTTTTACATTTTCTAATTCCATAAATATATATGTAACGTTTGTTCGTATCGACATTGTATTTTTGCGAACTTTAGTTTTGTGGGTCTGAAATGTCGGTAATATTAGGGATCTACAATTATCTTCAAACTCAGCTGATAGTCAAGAATATTAAATATTAACTCGGTCGATATTTTAATACTTGGTCGGAATCTCTGTGAATATTGTCGGTATGAGAGTATTCCGCGAAATCCTCTAGCAGTTCTCTGGTTTACCGGCGAATCGTGTTATATTCCAGAAAAGTTTTGAAGAGATTGTTAGATGGCACGAGAAACATTTTTCCGATCCGGTGATGGGGTATGGGGCTCAAGGATTCGGTAGTATTGATTGGAACATTCGTGTCCTGGGATTTTATAGGATTGAGTATGCATTGAGCTCCATTTTAAACTCAATGCATCGATTATGACAAAAAATTTCAATAAATAAATAACATTTTGTTTTTAAATTTCGCAGTAATCATTTTATTGAGTCTTGTTAATTAGAAAATGTTAATTTTTATAATATGTAAAGAGATTTATTAGTGACGCTTCGAAGTTATTAAGACATTTGAACTGATATCAATTAGCAGTTTTGAAATTCAATCAGTTTAGGTTCATAAATCTTGTAGTTTTGCCAATGATTGGCCAATTAAGGAATAACGAGCGTAGAAACTTGGGAAATTGAACGTTGTAATCGACACTCTTTGGGGAAATCTCGAGACTTTTTCTTTTCCTTGTAACGAGAGAGAGATACTCTTTGCGCATGTGAATGTACATACGAGTGTTTGTGTTTCCATCCATTGAAATCTTTAAAAAGAATGAATTCTTAGGTAATGCATGTGTGTTTATAGAACTGCTTTTTGAGATACTTACGGGACGAGATATATTTATATTTTCTCTTTCCTAAAATATTTTAGATCTTTGCATCACTATTTTCTCTGAGAATTCATTCTCGACAATTTTAAAAACGATTTGAAATTTAGTTTCCTTAATGTCCATTTTCAAATGTAAAAGATAACAAGTATATGTAGAGACATCTCTCCAATTTTTTTTGCAGCAATTTTTTCCTCCGGACATGATTACGTTTCCCAGCGGGGAAGAGAGGGGCACATTTACCGAAGCCGAGAGTGCGTTAAGGGTGAGTACATGTGTAATTTCCTGTCAATGCGATCATCACGAATATAAATCGTGCTAGGTGAAAAACGGCAAATATATGTTGCTTACGCTTATGTTGCAGAATTATTTGTTACGGGAGGACAGTGAGTGCCCGTACGTATTCAGCATGGTGTGGATGCGAAATGCGAGTTCGAACGGTTGGAAGAAGATGTACATGCTACTTCAAGGCCGGAAACTCTACACGACAAAGAAGGTAAGTCCTTTTGTCTCGCAAGAACCGCGGATTGTATTCTCGGGTTATTTTTATTTCATATTTAATTCATCGTGTGCGGTTTTAAACGCGTATATACGTATTGGCAGGCCTTTGGCCGAGGTTCTCTACTTACTTTACGGCTTCGAATATGAATCATAAGCTTTAAATGTTTCGCGGCGAAAGAATTACTCAGCGTTGTTAGCCGCTCAATTCAAACGCGCGCATTATCTACCATTTTGCGGCTACGGGCTGACGTCTTAGAATACGGGAAGACATCGTTACATAAAGAAATACTGCTTCTCAATGTTAATAAGCGAACACATATTCAGCTTATGTTGATTAATACGTTAACATGAAGTGATGGTGAGTTTCTCTTCTTTCCTATGCTCGATTATCTTTGTACGATCGCAGTAGAAAATGCAATCTCGCAACGGAGATCGGGTTCTTACTGACTCATCGTCGGTGAAACGTTCTTTTAAAGACCAAGTAAGCGATTCCTAGACGATAAACGATCGTCAGGCTCTACGTGCATCAGCGCGCGTAGTTCTCGCAGGTGTTAACACTTTTCTCAAGGACTTCGCGGTGCCGTCCGTTACGGATGAGTCACGACACATCGCTGGCAATTTATTTGTAAATCATTAAGCGACATTAACATGTAACAGCTGGGACGCTTTCTTACCCAAAAGTATGACACGAGAAACACGCCACAATCTTCTTTTTTTACGATCGAAGTAAAGAGGACAGTTTTATTAATAAAAATTGCTTGCATAAATACAACATAAAATTTGAGTAGCAAGTTTTTGTAGCAATTTAATGTTGATGTTTATTCCTTTCAATTTTATTTGCGATGTAATGTAATATTGTGTTTAAAAGAAACCCGGAATCAGCTGACGGGGATAACGTTATTCTTGCCTCGTTCGCGAAATTGTCTTACGATGTATCGGTTTAATGATAATGTTGATCCGACTCAGCCATCAAGTCAATTCATTTGCATAATTAATGCCATGCGATATACGAAGGTAACTCCTTCGTGGCTTATTCGATAACATGATATGATGTAAGGTAGTTATTTTTGAGATAACCATAGCTGCTAATTAATGTAGACGATGATTCTGAATTCAGCTTATAGGTGGGGTTGTTTTAAAATTAATTTAATTCGATTATCGATTTTGCGCGTACAACCGATAGCCCGCTGTTAAAACTGACGCGTCGAATGGTCGTTTGGCGAACACGTTTCCGAGTTGCGCGTCATTAATCGCCCAGCAGTAAAGCCAGAATCATATCGGCGGGCGAGCGATTATCCGAAATATCGCGCGGATCCTATAGAAAAAAAAATCCATTTGTCACGCATGCGTAAAATGTCGAGTGAGTTATGACCGCGATCGCTTTACGGCTGGCGATACATCTAGTTAAATAACGATAGCGCGACGAATAATTACAGACACACTCGTGTACATAGTCCGCGCGACCGCTCGTGAAATATTATCACTGAATATTCTACCGTTATTTGCGTACATCAGTGCTTCAGTTTACATATTTATTAACGTATATAAGCGATACACGCGCTATTCAATAAAAGCACTTAATGTGGTTTCCGTTACACAGTCACATTTAGTGCAAATCAATATGTATTTCCGATAAAGAATGCGACTATGCTAAGAAAAAAGTTTTTGTGATTAGGTGTTTGTGACTATAAATATATGATGCGATAATTATGGTTACTATTATATATATGTATAATGTTACTGATATAATATAATTATAGTTGTATAAAAAATATAATTGGCATAAAAAGATGACTGTAGATATAGTTATTATTACCATAACAATTGTCACAAATATAATTGTCATAATTTACACAATTTATAGCTATTTTTAGGCCAATCATACAAAATATAATTAGCCCAAAAATTATTATAAATTATGGCTAAATTATAACAACTTAAATCATTTTTATATGATAATAGATAATATTATATACTTTTTTCTATCAACTATATATATTTTTTATAGAACTATAAATAATATCAATTATATTATTACTAATATACTTATAGCAATAATAACCATAATTATGGTATGTAATTATAGTCACAAGTATCATAAACGTTTCTGTCAACGTAATCTAATTTACATAACTTTTTTGATTTTTTTCATTATATAATGTAGAGTTATAATGTGTAGAGTTATCTAAAAAAGAGTTGTGAATTTTAATATTGCATGGTCGCAATTATTGACAAGAATCCTTTCGCGAGATATACGCGAGAATACGCCTTCTTTTCTCTTTTGTCACGCCAAGAACCGGCTTAAAACGCAAGTTGATTGGCTTCGTGTCCGCCGTTGGCGCGTAAGAACATGATTTAATTATTTGAAGCATCATCGCTTTCGGCGATACTGGTATCAGTGGCTAATATCTCGACGAAAGCATTGTTCCGTAAAAAGCTACGGTTCACTTCATTGTTACCTGCTTCGCTTCGACGGGACAAGTCCACAAATAAATCATTATTACAACATGCGATACAATCTCTCGGTAGAAAGAGAAAAAAAGATGAGACTTATGTAATAACACAGGGACTCGAAGAATTGTAGTATATTCTGATGAGATCACTCGCGTATCGCAAGCTTATCGATCCTCGATTATGGCAACCGTAATTACATACAACGACACGCCCCTCGAATTTCGTAGTTTTCTGCAAATCGGATTTTTCTTATAGATACGGTTTCGCAATGTTCTCTTTTTTTTAGATTGACCTTTCGCTTTATTTCCTTGTGATCTTTTTCTTTCCGCAAAGTCTAGGATCAATATTCATAATCCGCTCTCATTTCAAGATCATCTTAAGTAATGTCTTAAGATGCTAATGCGGTCTTCTGATTGGTTCATGAAATCTTAAAATTGCATTTAAAACAGTCTTGAATATAAGAATCGTTTATGAATACCGGCCTAGGAACTTATTTCTGAAAGTGAATTTAGAAGTTGAAATTTTCTGAGTTATTCGACGGATTCAGCTTGTCCGAAAGGGTTAATTGCTCTTGAAAAGTTTCTCAACTACATCTTTTCCCAACGCAATGGCCTCGCGCTACTCGTCTCTGTGTTCGTTCATTATTACGGGCATTCGATGGATCTTTCTTTTGATATTAATGCCCGTTTTCATCAATGAATTAACTCTAATCTTGATTCAACTTATTTTTCATTTTTTGTGTTTATTTCTATTAATGTAGTTTAATTTTAATTTCCGTTCAACATCAAGAATTAGAAAAAAGCGAAGAGTAAATTGAACCAAGATTAAAATTAATCTACATTGGTAGGAACAGTCATTAGTACCTACTTACTTCTTAAATTGAATCGAGATTAATGTTAATCAGTTCAGTAAAAATGAACATAAATTAGGTTTAGGCCAAGCAAGAGAACGTGAACAAACACGAATGAACAACTTGCTTCAATGAGCGCGAACAGTGCAATTCATTCGAGTTTGCTCGTTTGCTTGATTTGAGTCCGGTTTTAAAAGAGGAGGTTCACAATGCGAACGATAGCCATTCGTACATACGGAAGGAATATTGAGAGAAAATTTGCAACTATAATTGTATGGTAAAATAATTATGGTTAGGTACTCTATTTTTATAGTTATTACTACTTAGTAATGATAATTATATTTATAGTTCTACCAAAAAATATATAGTCGGCATCGAAAATGACTATAAATTATAGTTAAATTATGGTAATTGCAACCATTTTTTTTTCTCTCAGTGTATCGGGCATTGTATGGATATTTGCAGGCACTCAATTATAATCGCAAATTACACTGCACGCACACAGAATTCCATTGTTCTTGGAATAATTGTCTTATTCGTTACTTTTAACTTAACGTGTGGAATCACCTGGCAGGAGCATGATGCGAAAACAGTGTTGAATTAATTAAAAACGAGTAAAATATAGAAGAATTTTTCTGTAAGAATTTTGTTTTTCTGTATCTTTATGTAATTCTTTCAAAAAAGATTTAATCTTGAAATAAAAAGAAAGGGTGAAGTAAGAAGAGTATACTTTGTATAAGAAGAGTATACTTTGTATATAGCTTCTCATGGACGCGTGAAGGATGTTAAACGTTAGGAAACGAATGAGAAAAGGGACTTCAGGGTGAGGTAATAAAGAAGAACGCGACAATTGTGCGAGCAAAGAGCTGGGAGTACGAGAGTAGGTACCAATGCTAAATAATACGGCTTTGGGGGTGCCGTGAATAATCCTTACTAACCTTAGCATTCGCACCGCTATTTCGGTCCTCCCGGCTCGAATAATTTATGAACTTCTACCGCAACGCGCCAGCCGACGGCCTTATCTCGAGCTGGTTGAAACTCTCTCTCCCGGACACAGTATATATCCGCTTCCTCTTAATTTCTAGCTCCCGCACTCCGTTCCTCAGGGAGATGTCATTGAGGGACCTTACCGAAGCTTTAACGTTAGGGCATCTTTTACGACGGTCGTTCGGTACGCGGCGGACAAGCCTTGTTTATTGTTCTTCGCGGACGGCAACGTATCAATGGGAGTGCCGCATGTAATATGCAGATTCAATATACGTTGATGCACTTTGGGGGCTTTGAATAAACCAACGTGTTTGCATCGTGTTTTTATCGCGCATATAATTTTAGAGATATCGATTTATCTTCTATTCATTTTATATCGTCAGATCATCAGTTGTATTATAGATGTTAGAATTACAGTGATTATACCAAATGTAATTTCCAAATAAAATAATTTTTCTTGCGTTTACTTTGTTTAAGTACGTCGATAAGCGTCAGATTTCGCAGAAGATAATCGTGAACATAAATATAATCGTGAATCATCACATCATATTACATGGATACATTTGTTATATCTATAAATTGTATAAATTGCTTGTATTGAATAGGAACTGACGTTTACGTCCGACTTATTGAAAGTCGCGCCGATGTCCGTTTTTATTGCGAGGTAACTTTCGCAACCCCGATGCGCTCATCCTCCGGTATTA